AAATAAAATTTAAAAAGCTAGCCCATATTCAAGGAGATGGAAAAACAGTCTCCACCTATTGATGGGAAGAGATGTAAAGTCACTCTTCACAGGAGTGGGCATACAGAGGTGGGAAGAACTTCTGGCTATTTTCTTCCATCTACTACACTAACAATGGCTCACAATTTGGGAACAATACGGAAAAAGATCGATCAATTTTATTACATAAAAATAAAAAATCTTTTGCACTACAAAAACACCATAAATAATGTAAGAAGATAAATGATAAAACTGAAAAAATATTTGTAATTTATATCATAGACAACAGTTTACTATCTCTATTATATAAAGAGCTTCCAAAAAATAGAAAAGGAAAGGACTGACAACACTCTAAAAAACGTGCGAGAGAGATGAACAGTTTGCAGCAAAAGAAATATACATGGCCCTTAACTGTATGAAAAAAGGTTCAACCTCACTCTTAATAAAGGAAATGCAAATTAAAACTACACTGAGATATCATTTTTCATCTATCACCTGATCAAAAACCCAAACATTTGACAATATACTCTGACAGGAAACAAACACTCACATACATTGCCATTTGGGGAATGCAAATGGTAGACTCCCATGGAAGGCCTTTTGCAAGAGCTAGCAAAATTACATCTGTATTTGACTTAGCAATCCCTCTTTCAGAAATCTATGCCGATGATACACTGGCAAAAATGCAAAAAGACATATGCATGAAGCTATTCATTGCAGCACTATTTGTAATAGCAAATACTAGACACAACTCAAATGTCGATCAATAGGAGACTGATTGAGTAAACTATGGTACCCATACATGGAGTTCTATGCAACCGTGAAAATTAATGAGGAGTCTCTCTGTGTACTACCATAGAGTGATTTCCAGGTGCATAGTTAAATGAAAAAGCAAAGTGGAGAAATGCATGTCTAGTATACTACTGTTTATCTAAGAGGGAGAGGTAACAAACATATGTACAGCTTATATAAAAAATGGAAGAAAAAGCAAACAGTAAAATTTTATGGTTTTTTATGGGGAGATGGAAGGAACGAAGACAGAAGGTAGACTTCTCTGTATATGTCTTGTTTCATAGATTTGACTTCAGAATGATGTAAGTAGTTTATATCATTATTAAGAAATTTAAGATAGCTTAAAAAGGCAATCTCTCAAAAGCAATATGAAACTGTGATTTAAGTTGTGGCATAACTGCACAGAAAGGAAAGTTCCAAGTGACTTTAAATCACAGTAATTTAACTGTGTGTACACTATAGATAAAAAGTACCCCAAAAAACAATCCTGAAGTCTTTATAATAAGTCATTAATGGTAGAATTTCTTATTTTCGGACTGCTGTTTGTGTATCGTAGGATAGATCACTTGAGTAATGATGTTAGTATCTTTGAGATCCAAATTTTTGGGACGGAATAGGAGATCAATCAGGTTAAATAAAAATTCTGTGGTCCTAACTTTGAATTGGAATTATCAGTATGAATTCCTGATGTATCTTCTCTCTTTTAAAAAATGTACTTCTTAGTTCTGTCTACTAAAAGGCCTTAATACAATGACCAACCAAATAGCAATGGACACCCATAAACACCCAAATTGTACTTTAAATACTTAAATCCTTAGATAGTACTATAAACACATTAAAAAGAAGCAGGGGGGGCTGGCCCCGTGGCCGAGTGGTTAAGTTCGCGCGCTCCGCTGCAGACGGCCCAGTGTTTCGTTGCTTCGAATCCTGGGCGCGGACATGGCACTGCTCATCAGACCACGCTGAGGCAGCGTCCCACATGCCACAACTAGAAGAACCCACAACGAAGAACATACAACTATGTACTGGGGGGCTTTGGGGAGAAAAAGGAAAAAATAAAATCTTTAAAAAAAATAAATAAATAAATAAATAAATAAATAAATAAAGAAGCAGGGGTCCTTAAAGAAAGCACTAATTCCATGTCTAGGATAGGATATTTACATCTTATCACACCAGAAGATAAGGAAGCTACCCAAAACCACTAGGGTTGCGTCAAAAGGACTCAGAAGTCCACTTGAAGAATCTCCCACTTCTCAGAGATGGGAAATTTGAGCATTAATAAGGATAAGAACTGTGATTGGATTGAAGCTTATAAATTATGTTTAAATCACTGAGTTCACAATGGTACAAAAAAATAATGCATTAGTCATCTATGGAGGGTGCTAGGGAGCCATCTCAATTGTTTTGAAAACTGGAAATAAAAAGAAAAATCCAAGTATTTATTCTGTCTTTCCTCCATGAACCGTACCTCAGTGCAAACAAATAGTTGGTGAAAGAGGTTCCTCTTTGTAGAAGTAGTCCAGGTAATAAATAAATAATGACAAAATTCCAATATCACCATTTTACAACTCCTAATGAAATAATGGATCGATGACTTCTGACATGACAAAGAGAAACAGTCAGACATTGTGTGCCCCCTGAAGGAAGTGTGAATACCACCTGTGAAATACTCCTGCCAAAATAATAAACCAAAATCTGTTCAAAACTCTAGATCTCAGTTGCAACTTATAGGCAGTACAGGGGAGAGGAACACGTTAAAATAAAAGTAAAATTTACATGTAGTTGCAATAAGCAAAACCCAGACTGTGAAAAATTCTACAGATCAAATGACCTGGTTTATTAAAAAAAAAAAATTGCAAAGAAAAACAGAAGACAGATGCAGGGGAAATCTATAGAAAAAGGACTTAAAGATATATCGACCAATTGCAATTTGTGGACTTTAACTGGATTCTGATTCAAAAAACTGACTAAAGGGGGAAAACCCTTTATGAGGCAGCTGAGGAAATTTGAGCAACAAGTAGATAATTAGTAATACTAAATAATACAGGGAGTGGTGGTGGTAGAAATTAAGTGGGTAGGGCTATGAATACAAGATTCGCCAAGAGTGGCTAACTGGCAAATCTAGGTGTGGGGCACATGAAGATTCCTTATATTGTTCTCTCTACTTTTGTTTGAAATTTTCCACAATAAAACGTTAAAAAAAGAAAAAAAGCATATTTTTTTTTAAGATCAGGAAATTCTTCTTTTTGAAAGACTTCTAGTGGACATTATTGTGGCTGAATAAAATACCTAGAATTGTGGTGATTCATCCTGTGATTATGAGGAAAGCCTGCCAAGAATAAAGTCAAAACATTCCTGATAGAAGAGCAGAATAATAGAAACAATCTGGTTCTTGACAATCCAGCCACAAAATAAACCAGCCCTGGAGCCACCCAACCTCTGGATATCTAGTTAGATAATAACTATCTCTGTTGTTTAATCCATTTTAGTTAGTTTCTGTTATTTGCAACCAAATAACAGAAACTGTTTTGCTAACCAAAACAATGGAGAAAAATGCATTTTTTGGTGTGTGTTAAGATCGTAAGAGTGGTACCATACATTTCTGCTCTGTTTTACAGAATGTTTAATAAAGCAGCCTCCCTTAATAGACTCCGTAATAGACCTATGAGTCTAATGCAGAGATGATGCTGAGACGAATTCAAAACAAATCCAAAGAACCATCCTGTACCGTCCAGTCCCCCCGCTCTGCAATGATTAAGTCCTTATAGTTACTGTTTTTCTGTCCTTTCAGATTCCAGAGGCATCAAGCCAGCTAGTATATCACCGTCCACCTACATCCCGTCCCCGTTTACCATGGGTGAAAATCTTAGCAATCACACTGCTACAGAAGGCCAGGGACTAGCAATCCTCCACTTACCACCAGTGATGGGTCCTCGTGGCCATCTAGCTGGAGAGGGATACAATTCCACAATCCAATTCTTACAGTCTTCTTCCTAGGACCACATTCAGTACCAATGATCTTACGTGGAGTTCCCTAGAAACAGAGCTTGAAACAGGAATTTGGGGGCAAGTGATTTATTGAAGTGTCTCAGCAGAGTAGGAGGAGAAAAGCAGGATAGAACAGGGAAGAAAAGCTAAGCAAGAATGTAATTGCAGCTGGAAACCAGCTTCAACCTGAGCCCTGGGGAGCTCTGGAGCAGGAGCTGTCCCAGAGAGTTGGCCTCAGCTTGTACCACTATGGCAGTCAGTCATGGTTGTGAGCGGCCTGCAGTGAGGGTGGGGGTGGGGTGTGCGTGTAACGCTCACAGCAGCTGTGAGTAAATGTACTGGCCTAGTTAAGGGCATCTAGGCAGAGCACCGACAGCATCCACTACAACTTCCCAACTCACTCCAAGTTATAGCCAAAATCTTACTACACTGTGTGATCTATCCCTGCCTAACCATTCTCTCTGTCTCTGAAATCATCTCCAATTACCCTCCCTCTTTCATTCCACTTCAGCCACACTGGCCACCTCACAAGTCCTCAAATTCTCCAGCATACCCGTGCTTCAGATTCTTGCACTTCTCAGTTCCCTCATCTGGAATGATCCCCACCTCCCATGTCCACATGACTAGGTCCCTTATACATCCTTGAGGGCTTTACTCACAAGACAGATTCTCAGTACGGCCTTCTCTCGCAGCCCCATCTAAAAATCACAACTCCCACCCCTAGAAAACACTTACAATCCCTTTACGTTCGTTACTTTTCTCTTTAAGCACTTATCAATATTGAACATATTATATAGTTTTCCTGTTTTTCTCATTTATTATTTGGTCCTACTCTAGAATATAAGCTGAAAAGGCTAAGAATTTTTATCTTTTTTTTAAGTCTCAGCACTTAAAACAGCGTGTGGTAGGTTACAGGTACTCAGTTAATATTTGCTGAATACATGAAGGAAGGAAGGAATGACTGATTCCTAGCACAAAGTGTAAGTCCTCAATAAACACTGTTTGAACTGAACTAATCTGAAACAGAAAATACCAGCACAGCCCCCCATGGAACAGAGATGGGAAAAAGGACACATATACTGCTATAGGCAGAGTTCTCCATAGATTATATATTTTCTTTGATAATATTGCAATGTTTATGAGATGTTATATATGTGTACGTTAATATATAATTTATACATATAAATACTGGTGAATAAAAATAGAAGCGCTAAAGATTTTCCAATTTTATTTAAATTAGTTCATCTCAAAACTCAACACTCTAGATTTACACACATTAAAGTAAGGTAAAGGTATAGCAAAATTAAAGGAAACGCAGGTTGTACAGATAACTCGATTCCTATGAAATAAAATTTAAATCCAAAGATGAAACTCTTTAAGTTCTTTACTGCAATGCCATATTCTGATCTCAGAGAGTAGAAAACTGTTCAGACATGTAAAATCTCAAATCTCTCAATCCTGAAATCTACCAGTAGATACCAAAAATCTCCAAGCCACATTAAACTTTTCTAGAGAAAAGCCTTTTTTAAAACTGAGATTACCAAAACTACAAAAGCATCTCTCAGACACTCTCTATCGCATTTTTTTGCTGAAGTGTCAATCAGCCTAGGCAGCCTCAGAGCCAACACTGGCTTCTTCCTGTAAATCGTCCCCCGCAGAGGATTCTGACTCAATTGCAGAAGATTCTTCTTCTAGTTCAGCATATTCACCAGAGCTTTCATTCTCTGTTGTACCTTTATCATTATTGACGGCCACAGCTTCATCCGGAGCTGCATTCATCATCTCGGAGGGCGGTTCAGTGCTGACCTCTGCGGTTTCGCCAGTCGCTGCGTCTGTGACCTCTGGCCCAGTTTCGGCACTGACTGCAGCGGTCTCCGCTGGAGCAGCCTCCTCAGTTTGTGGACAGGCTGAAGCCTCTGCCATGACTGCAACTGTCGCATCTGGAATAGCTTCAGCATCTACCACCTGAGCTTCCGCTACAGACATCTCAGGGGCTTCTAGACTTGCTTTCTCCGCTCCCGCAAGGTTCTCTTTTTCACCTTTAAGATTTAGTCCATTAAGCAAAGTATTAATTGAAAGAGCATGGGAATACAGTGGACCACTGTGCAGTCATTTAAAAAAATGAAACAGATCTAATGTACTGATATGAAATAGTCTTCGAGGTAGACTGTTAATTGAAAAAAAGCAAGGAAAAGAGCAATGTATACAATATGGAACTATTTGTGTTAGGACAAAAGGAGGATAAAATAGGGGCTGGCCCTGTGGCCGAGTGGTTAAGCTCGCGTGCTCCGCTGCAGGCGGCCCACTGATTTGTTGGTTCAAATCCTGGGCGCGGTCATGGCACTGCTCATCAAACCACGCTGAGGCAGCGTCCCACATGCCACAACTAGAAGGACCCACAACGAAGAATATACAACTATGTACCGGGGGGCTTTGGGGAGAAAAAGGAAAAAAATGAAAAAAAAGAGGAGGATAAAATATATACCCAGATAGTTATACGTGCAAAGACTCTCTCCAGGAGGATACAAACAAACTGGTATTTTTTATTGCCTCTGAGGAGGGAAAATGGGGAATCTGCTTTTCTGTAAACTCTTTTGAACCTGTTGAACTTTTTAAGCAAATAATTTACATATACTATTTACTCAAATACAAAGAGCATAAAAATAAACAGCCAACCTGTCATGCAAAATAGCTCAGAAAAGTAGCCAATTTACTAGCTGATAACTCTGAGAAATCTCTAATCCTCTCTCAGCCTCAGTGTTGTCATCTGTAAAATGGGGATATTGATAATATCTACCTCACAGAGCTATTGTGAGGATTGATTAAATTAACATATATGAAAAGTGCTTCAAAACCAATAAGTGCTATGGTAATGCTGTATTTTATTATTATTATAATCAGCCTTCTCATGATTATATTCAATAATGTGTATTGAGGATATCCTGTTTCGTATTGTTTTCATGACTAAAAGGTTAAAACTGATCCATAAGCAGCTATTATCTCTGTCCCTAAATAGTGATCATAGTAACTGATAATAATGGCATAACGTTGAGATGGAAAAAAGCATGGTTTAAAGCAAGCAGTTTAAGGCAAGAAATATACATGAGGGTGAAAATGTAAAGTCTCTCTTCTCACAGTTGCCATTTTATCAGTCAGATCAACTGAGGGACTCGATAGACACCACCAATTCAACTGTACTTTGGGCAAAGACACATGGGCGGTCTTAGCCAAAACTGAAACAAAAATTAGTTCCATGATTTTAAAAAATAATGAGGGAAATGACAGGTCAAGCTGCTGAGAGAGGCAGATACTAAAATTATGCCTGCATGAATGGAAGCCTGAGTAGGGGGATAGTAACATTATGACACAAAGAACTCAAAGCCAGTGGTCAGCAGTACAAATGTAAAACATTTTCATTTATCAAATGCACTCATCCAAAATGTTTAACAATATTCTTTAGGTTTCAGTCGGGCTTTTTCTTTCTGAATGAACTCCTACCAGAGCCATTCTGGATTAAGTTCATAAAAAAGCCAAAAGCAAATAATGTTCATTGACTAAGAAGTAAGACTAAGACGATAGAAATCAGTGCCTCAAAGGGAAAAAATAATGAATTCACTTTACCTTGAAGTGGATGTAACTCAGCATTGGTTTTTTCTTTCAAATTTGCTATATGTTCCTTGTGTTTAGCTTTCTCTGATGTGACTCTCTTGTAAGTCTGAAAGTAAATGTGTGCTTAAGATTATTTCTTGAGCTTTAAGATTCCTGATAAAAGCTATATGCAATTCAAAGAAGAGAAACCAACGCACACTGTCTACTCTGTTGCTTCCCCTTTGGAAACCTCTGTCATTAAGTAGACTGCTTTAAAAAGGAAAGAGACAAATGCTCTAACAGGGGTTAAGATAACTGAAAATGCACACAGTAGATAGAAAGATGAAGACAAATGAAGAAAAAATAAATTATGCTAGAATCAAAATATTCTGACAGGCATTTACAAATATCCTCCAGGGGCCAGCCCCGTGGCAGAGCGGTTAAGCTTGTGCGCTCTGCTGCTGTGGCCCAGGGTTCGGATCCTGGGCGTGGACATGGCACTGCTCATTAGGCCATGTTGAGGTGGCATCCCACATGCCACAACTAGAAGGACCCACAACTAAAATATACAACTATGTACTGGGGGAATTTGGGGAGAAAAAAAAAAGATTGGCAACAGTTGTTAGCTCAGGTGACAATCTTAAAAAAAACAAAGATCCTCCAGCATTTATTCCAGAGAAATGGAAATTTGTGTGCACATGAAAACCTGTACACAAATGTTCATGGTAGCTTTATTTGTCATAGCCAAAAACTAGAATCAGCCCAGATGTTCTACAACAGATGAATGGTTAAATAAACTGTGGTACATCCATAACCTAGAACATTACTCAGCAAGAAAAAGGCATGAACTGTAGATACAGGTTTGGACAAATCTCTAGGTAATTATGCTGAGTGAAAAAAGCCAGTCACAAAAGGTTATATAACTTATGATTCCATTTATGTAAGATTCCTGAAATGACAAAATCATAAAAATAGAGAACAGATTAGTGGTTGCCAGGTGCTAGGAGGAAGGGAGGGGAGGTGAGGAGAGAAGTGTGAAAGCATGAGGCCAGGAAGAGCTCTCAGGAGGAGCCAATTTAAGATTACTTTTGCAACGAAAGATTTAACAGACTAGAGAGGTTCCTGTCTGGCACTAGTAAACACAATTAGGGGTACAGTGACATCCAGATGAAATTCAGTCTTCCAGCATCCCACATAATCACATAGCCTAGTCCAGTCTCTGTTTTTCCAGTGGCCTATATCCAACTGTCGTAGCCCTGGGCAGTGAATTCGACAGTCAGCAGTAGAAAGATGGTAGAAGCATAGGAATCTGGGAATGAGTGAAAGCTGGGAGATTAGTGGAGGACAATAATGTAAGTGATATGTTTGAAGTTTCTTGGCTTCTTGAGGCTCTCAAAATTCTGAAGATTGGAATATGTATTTTGTATTTTGGTTTGGCCATCTACATAGTCCTACAAACTGCTCCTAGTCAGGACTAAAAATCCCTTCATGCATATTTCTGGAGGGTCAAACCAAAATGTAGTGATTGTGTACTCTCATGGTTTCTGAAGAATTTATACTTATTTACTTTTATTCATAATGAAGATTAGATTTTGATTTAAAGTTTATGAAAAAGTGGGGAATGATTTAATAGGTTTATCTTATTTAAACTCACAAGTGTTCCTTTGTTTGGCTTTAAAATCAGACTATTAAATACTTTGTGGGGCCAGTCCCGGGCCAAGTGGTTAAGTTCTCGCTCTCTGCTTCGGCGGCCGAGGGTTTCCCGGTTCGAATCCTGGGTGCGGGCATGGCACCATTCGTCAAGCCATGCTGAGGCGGCATCCCACTTGCCACAACCGGAAGGACCCACAACTAAAAATACACAACCATGTATCGGGGGGCTTTGGGAGAAAAAGGAAAAATAAAATCTTTAAAAAAAGAAAATCTTTGTTTTATAGCAATTACCTGGGGGGAGCAGATAGAGGGACCAGAGAGGAAAACATTCCTTTAATTTTATATGTGTCTATTTTGAATTTTTAAAAATTCATGAATAAATGTTACTTTTAAAAATAATAAAAGTATATAAAGATATAAAACTAATAAAAACTATGGAGACAGTAAAAAGATTGGGGGGGAGGGAGGGAGGAATGAATGGGTGGAGCACGGGGGATTTTTAGGGCAGTGAAACTATTCTGTATGTTATTGTAATGGTGGATACATATCTTTATACATTTGTCCGAACCCATAGAATGTACAACACAGAGAGAACCCTAATGTAAACTATGGACTTTAGTTAATAATAATGTCTCAATATTGAATCATCATTGCTAACAAATTTACCACATTAATTCAAGATTGTTGATAGAGAAAAGGGGGAGAGAGGGTAAGAGGAGGTATATGCAAACTCTGTACTTTCTGCTCATTTTTCTTAAACCTAATCCTGCTCTAAAAACTAAAGTCTATTAATTTTTTAAAAAGTTAATCTTTCAAAAACAATTCTCATTAAATGTTAATAATAGTACCTACCATATAGAATTGTTGTAATTATTAAATGAGCCATGAGTCTGTCATAGGATAAACACTAAATGTCAGCTATCATTTGTAGTATAGATAATAATGCTGTTTTTACTGAAAATCACCTATACTTAGTGGTGTTAAGAAATATTGATTTTATACTTAAAAAGAAATCTTCGTAATCTTGTATATTTAATTAGTCCCATGTCCTGACCTTGACATTGCTTTGAGTTTTACCACAGGTTGTAAAATATAAGAATTCCTGAATACTACAGTGATTTAAACACTTACATAATATCCACCAGCACTGACTGTGACACCCACAACCAGATAATAGATCATATTTGATCCAGATGATCCAGGGAATTTGTTAGATGACATCCAGCGAAGAGATGCTAGGAAAACAAGTTTAAACACAGTTAGCCCCACTGCTTAAGCAAAACTATTTTAAATAATTGCATCTTAAAAAAATTTTCCCCTCGGTGAACCTAGGATCTATTAACATCAAGTCATTTTAGCTTAAGGGAATACAGTATTACAAGGTAGGGTAATAATTCCACTTGACACTTTCCCAATCTAATTTGATGAGTACTTATTAAACATGTCATTTTGATGCTTAGCATCATGCTTTTCTTGGAAGGAGTACAGGCGTGGATAAGGAGAAACGACAAAAGCATTAAACTATTTTAACAGCCAAACGCAATGCATATTAGCAAAAGAAATCCATTTACTGTATTTACTCCACCACAGGATTCAGTGGAAAAGATTATTTTTCCAAAAAATGAATTAAACACATTGTACTTAAAATTTATATGTTAAATAAAACATTTATGTTGAAATTCAACACATTTCTATAAATCTATAACATGTAAAGGAAGAAACTTTAATTTTTGTAATGTAAAGTCTTTATAAAGGTGAAGATATAAGCTTTTTTAAGACAAATGTTTGCAACGAGGTCATATTTGAAATAGAAGTACAATTCTGTACAAGCTAATAGAAATAGATGAAAGTACTGTATTATTATACGTAAATATATTTACTAGGTAGTGCTGGAATTTGTATATAACATATGCCCTGGAATTGAAATTTTTCTAATAGACTCAAAGTTAGAAAGAGCTTAAAGTTTATATAGTTCAAATTCTTTATTTTAAAGATAAAAAAGTAGAGACATTTATTCATTCAACAAATATAATTGAGCACCTACTATGTGTTTGGCATTGTTAGAAGCACTAAGAATGTAACTGTGAACAAGACACATGAGGTGCCTAGCCTTGGGTAGCTCACAGTCTAGAAGGAGAGAATAGACGTACAGAAAAATAACTGTAGGCAAATAATTGCAATGCAGTGTGACAAATGCTGTAATAGATGGAAGTAGAAGCTGCAAGAATAGCATGAAGATGCAGCGAAAAAAACTGCTAGTTGGCTCAAGGTAGATGTCACAACTGAAGAGACATGACCTAGGCTTTGAAGGAAAGCAGGAGTTTGTCAGATAAATAAGGGAAGGGGAAATTGCACTGGAGGCAGAAGGCACAATATGCGCAAAAGCATGACAGCTGTGTGACTGGGAAAGTGCAAAGTAATCTGATGTGGGCTGACATAGAGTACCGATGTGGGGACTAGTAAGAAGTGATGATTTGCAGAGGGCAAATCTTAAGACATTTGAACTGATTACAAATCCTTGTAGTAGCAATATTGGAAAGATTTCATATATATGTTCTTAGTTTGGATATAAATGACCATCTCCTGGAAAAAATATTTTTTTCCTGAAAATGTGCCCAAAGAGCCTATGCTAAGAGGTTACGGCTTTGACTTGTAGTGGGGCTTTTGTTGGTTTAAAAATACATCTGTTATTAAATAGGGAATATGTACCTTTCATAGTTGGCAACCAGACATAAATATAAAAAGATTTTTTTAAATAGGAAGAAACAAAGAAAATCATCAGAGATTAAAACTTAAATACAAATACAATTATGGCAAAGCTATTTAGAAGAGCAATGAAATGGGAAATATTCAATAAAGATTAATCAGACAAATTTTAGCATATTCATACATGTGAAACAGACTATAATTTTTGCAGAAGAATACTTACAAGAGAAAATATTTACAATATATTAAGTGAAAAATTATAGCAAAATAATCTATGTGGGACTAGCCCAGATTTGTAGAAGCAATTTGTATAAGGAAAAAAAAGTCACAAGGGAAAAAAAAAGTCTGGAACACTATACTAAAATGTAAATAACGGTATTCACTGGGTGGTAGGATTACCGGTGGCTCCTATTTTACCTTTCTGTGTTTTCTCCAATGACCTATTATAAACCTAAATTATTTTTTCATTAAAAAGTTACATTTTAAAAGCAAAAACCAGAGAACAAAATTTAATCAGGCACAGTTAAAATTTTATCCTCCAGTAAAACTGAAACGACATTATTTTTCATCAAATTAGGAAGTACCAATAAAAGGTTAATTAATATCCACGACTGAAGCCAAATTTCCAGTCAATCATAGTTCTTAAAATACATAAATCAGTGCTACAAAGAAAGTAATTGGATGAAAATTAAGGACAGACCAGTAATGCTACAACCAGTATTGCTAACTACTTCAAATTTTAAACTACTTTTCTCTTGCCCCAAGTTGGGCAGGAAATTATTTGAAACACGTGCAGCTCCAAAAAAAAAAAAAACAAAGTATGTTACGTTTGTGCGTGATGACGGTGGGGGATGCGGACAGATAACGCGAAAGGTCACGGTCCGGGGGCTCCTCTTTCTCCGTACAGCGCCCCCCCGTCGCAACAGCCCCGTTATTTTCAGAAGTTTAACATGATTGGCTTCTACCTGTTTCATCTGTGAAAAATGTGCTCTATCTGACTCGGTATAAAGATCAAGGAAAAAGAAGACGCCTTATTTCTGTTACTTGTGAGGCAACTTCTTCCCACCAGCATTTTAAGAGAAAAATAAAAGGGAGTTGGACAGACCTTCCTTTTCTCCCACCACCATCACCACCACCCCTCCGGGCCTAATCAAAGTGACAAAGACTGGCCCGCGGAATTTTCCGCAGAAGGCTTCCTTTCCGCCTCAAAAACACGAACTGGGCTAAAGCTACGTCACAAGCCTTAGGAAGCGAGGCAGAGTGAAGGGAGACCTCCAGGAGGTTGTCTGAGAGCCGTTCCCCTGATCAGGAGCGGGAGAGTGAGGGGAGACGGACGAGAACTAGGAAAGAACAGGTTGGGGCCGAACTGCACCGGAGAGCAAACCTGGTCCCAGGGCGCAGGCTGCGGGGATGAAAAATACTCTCAGGCTCACACTGAAGCACCTACGATGTTCCAGGCGCTGTAATAGGCGCTTTCGTACATGTCAATTTTTATTTAATAAGCTTCCAGCTCGCACTGCAACTTCTCCTTTAGGAAATTTCTTAATACGCTCACTTTTCCCCGTTCGCAAATCTAAAGGTGACAGATACATGGACGACAGAGCCTAACAGCTGAATACCTCCCGGTCTATCTGCAGCTCCTAAGGAAAGTGCTTCGAAGGCCGCTTCCTCCCCGGGGATACCAGGGCCCAGGCTCGCGGGGTTCAGGCTGCCAAGCCCTGGGTCTTCAGTTTATTCACTCAAAAACGTGTACCCAACTTCTACCGGGCCAGCACTCCCTCCCGCACCCTGCCCGGCTCGCTGATGAGTGTCCATCTTCCCACCCATTCCTCTGCTTCCTCCCGAAGTTGGAGAGCGCCCTGGTCTCTGTAATAGTAACAGCGGTAAGATACACGTATGTTAGCCAGGCACTTTTCTAAGCGCTTATAACTACATAGTAACTCATTACAACTCACAGCTATTATTGTCCCCATTTTACAGATGAGCAAACTAAGGTTAAATCACTTGCCCAAGATCGAGATTCGACCCAGGAAATCTAGTCTAGATTCAGAAGCCGCGCTAGAAAGGTTCCCTACTTCCAAAGTCTCCAAGAACTTGGGGGCGTCTTCCCACACGACTCTCCTGCATTTCTCCCTCCATCCCTAATCTCAGGCTTCTGCTGCACTGGGTCGAGTTTGCCCCACCGGGTGCAGACGGGGACAAAGGCGCTCGCGGAATCCGCGCGCGAGACGCTCGTCCTCTGCAGGCTTGGACGGCGGGAGAGGCGCCCGGGCCAGCGCCTGGCACTCACCGTCAGTCCGGAGCGGCGCAGGGCTCGCCTGCGCCCTCAGAGGCAGCGCCAGGGTCTTGGAGACCGCCCTGCGGAGATACATCGCGCCCGCGGTCCGCAGCGCAGTAGCCTCTGCAGCCCGGCGCGGGCAGCGGGGCGCGGACAGCCAGAGTGAGCCCCGCCCCGGGGAGGGGCGCCGACCCCTGTCCAGCCCCGCCCGGGCGGCCCGGGAGGTGGGTAGGAGTTGGCTGTTCTCACCATCCTGGTCAATCCGACCTCCAGGCTCCTTTGCTTTCTCCCGGGTCCAACAAGGTGATGGCGGCATCTCAGAAAAAGGATCAAGAAGCGAGAAGTCGCCGTCACTTGCCTGTCCAGTACTGTTCCACTGAGTGAAACCCCTCCGTGTAGACTGGAAATGTTTCGGGATTCGCATCCGGAATAAGACATAGACATTGTTTATCATGCCGAGGGAAATCTGAACCCACTTTATCTCATGCACTCCGTTAGCTTTCCTAGGAGCGGAAGGGGTAGCTGGAAGTTTCCTGGCGATGGAGCGAGGAGAGGGGCGGCCTCAGCCTTCCAACGGTGGTGCGCTGGGCGAAGTTCAGAATCGTCAGAAAATCCCCAGGCAATGGCTGACTCTGTAGGCAATTCACCGTTACCATGACTTTAAACACAAACCCCTCAAATGCTGAATATTCCTCTAAGGGATGCGAAACCAGTATTTCCACATCAACTAAAAATGCTAAATTATTAGTTTCTTCTCCTAGATTTCAATTACTTGCCTCATTGTGGCTACAAGAATTTGTCATGGTTTGAATACGGAAACCAATAATTTATGCTCATAACATTTTCTGAATGATTAATCTTTGAAAGGGACCATTTCATATTATGATAGTCCCTTATGTGTGTTTGGCAGTTAGTTTATAAAGCACTTTTACATATATCGTCTCCTTTAATTTGCATTTCAACTCTCTGAGGGAGGTGCCAATTCTTCCCTTTAGCAAGGGACCAGGTTGTGGGGAGGAACGTCCACGGACTGATGGTCAGGATTTTTTTCTTTTTAAAGGATATGAACATAGTTCTTCTAGTTGCAAGTTCTCTTGCCATGTTACAGGCAAACTATCTGCTCATTTGCTACATGAGTAACTAAACATTTCTCAGAGGTTCTAGTACTGAACACAATTCTAATAATATTTAACATATTCTCATTTGACCGGATGAGCCAATGGTCAGAACTGGTTTTTTGATACTCAGAGTAGCTTGCTATTCCTAGTGATTAAACGCTTAACAAGAGCAATTAAGTAATCTGTAGTAACCAAGAGGTCAAATTCAGACTTCCAAGCAGCACAAGAAGGGGCTAAATTCAGACTCTCCACCAAGAAGTTAGGGAGTTCTGAAAGTAGCAAAACGCATATTAGTACACTTGCTACTTTTGACCAGCATCAAGTACACATTCTCCAGCAACTAGGATTCGCTACCTCACTGGCCAGTGTAGAATGCTTAATGAACTGCTAGCAGCTAGGACAGATTGACAAACCAAGCCAAATCTGTCACAAGCGCTCCTAACCACTTTTGGTTTGACGCTACCCGATTTAAAATTTAAAAACAAACAAACAAATCTTTCTACCACTATGGCTCATTCTTTCCCTTGTGTACTTAGGGCTGAATTTTGACTTGGTTGCCAGGGATAGGAAATGGTCAAAGGCGGTAAATGCATTTAAATGAATTAATGCATGAATATACTGTTATGTAATGTGTTGGAAGCTTCCCTGGGCTCCCCTAAAAAGGATTCTTTCTGAGTAAACATTTGTAAGTGATGATAGCTCCCAGGACACTGTTTTAGGCTCCCCTTTGGAATTTAGTTGTAGACTTAGGGTCTTCTGGGTCATCCCCAGGTTCCATGGCAGCCACTTAATCTCAAACTGTCTCTCTTAAAATGCCTACCATATGCTAGGGACTGTGCTGTATGCTGCGATTGGTTATAATTTATTTTACAAATATTTATCGAGTCTCTAATGTATTAGGCACTGTTCCAGGGCATTCTTCAATGAATAAGATAGGATTTCTGCTATCACTCACAGAGGTGATAGTCTCAGGCTAAAGAGACATGGAACTAACATCTTTTCTGAGGGGTAGCTGCCAAGCCCACCATCAATGGGGTCAATGATCACAAATCTCTTGACCAGATATCAATAATTAATGTAACCTAAGGGTTTTTGTTAAAACCAAACTGGTTTAAACAATGCAAGAATAACACACATGTATATAGGTCTTTAAAAACTTTCCCTAAAGTATTGTCACATCTATTTTTGCACTTCATCCTCTTAACAATCCTAAGGTGTAGGCAGAGGAATGGTGATTTTCCCTATACTACATATGACAAAAAACTGAGGTAGTATAATGTGGTTAAGAGCATGAGGTCGGGAGTCAGATGCCTGGTCAGAGTAAAAAGAGATAATTGCTTTATTCATAAGATTGTTTTGAGCTGTAAGGCACATTAGGTATGAAATGGGCTCGGCTAGTTGGAGGAAGTAGTGCCAGATTCTGACTTCCAGCCCAGGCCAAATGCAAGGCTCCCTTACAATGCTCTGTTGCCTTTCAGTGTGCATATGACAGGATCCATTATATCCCACCATCTTATCAGATGGTAAGGTCCAGTGGGGAGCTTATCACGTCTGTTAGGTTGGATGTGGCCATCCCAGCCAGGAGAGCAAGAACTGAGAGATAAATAGTGCCACTTCTCCAGATCTCTTTTCACCATGCCTCTTGGATCAAAGGGAATTTTCTACCTGCTCTACTGCTCCTATAGGATACGTGGCTCTCCATTTTGATGGCAAACTCTTTTCACATCTTCATGAAACATTTTCCGAGAGAGGACATGCCTGTGGGTTGTTACTTCACTCTGTTGCAAGCCGTTTCTCCCAAACCTGAGAGAACTTTAACATTGGGTCTTTGCTGAGACTCTGTAAGGCTCAGACAATAGTTTCCCAGCTGTGAGTCATTTTGTTTGTAATGCTGCCCTTGGGCACATCCTTGACATTTTTCTTGGTTTCATCAGGAAAACAGAATCTAGGGTCAGAGATTTCTTGGCTTACCTAAAATGATCTCCACCTAATTTTGATTGTTGACAAAGATGACATTAGTTTTGAAAACATATTGTAAGGGTCTTCTACTGGCAATATTAATCATACTTATTCAAGGCTTAAGTGCTATATAATTAAAAACAATTTCAAAGACTGAGCGATTTCCTAGGCTCCACAGAAAGCTAGAAACAGCTTTGTTTTTCTTAACACTGAATTCTTAGGCTATAATCTCTACTTTCAACAGATCAATGTGGATATCAGGTGAAACAATTTAGAAGAGTATCTAGGAAGACAAATTGGCAAGCAATTCAGAAAGTCCTGAGAGGCATCCTTTTGATGACCTAAAATATTTAGATAAATGAAGGGGGAAGGGTAATCAAGATGGTAAATTATTAAACTATTCTTGGAGGTCTCTCAGTACTCTCCCCATCTATTCACTTTCTCTTCCATAGTAAAATAAACACGATATTCCCTAACATTTCTGTATTATTTCCTAAGGCTACCTAACAAATTACTACAAACTTGGACGGCTTAAAACAACAGAAATTTATTCTCTCACAGTCCTGGAGGCTAGAAGTCTGAAACCAAGGTGTTGGCAGGGCCATGCCTGTCCTGAAACCTGTAGGGTAGAATCCTTCCTTGCCTCTTCTAGCTTCTGGTGTTTGCAGGTAATCCTTGGCTTGTAGATGCATCTCTAACTTCCGCCTCCATCACTACATGGCTGTCTTCTTCCTGTGTGTTTCTGTGTCTCCTCTCATAAGTATACCAGTCATATTGGATTAACGGCCCACCCTATTCCAGTATGAACTCATCTTAACTAATTGCATCTGCAACTGCCCTAATTCCAAATAAGGTCATGTTCTGAGGTACTAGGAGTTAGGACTTCAACATATCTTTTTGGGGGACACAATTCAACCTATAGCAACTTCCTATACTTGAAATTTAGTTCATATAGCCTGTTTTTCCCATGGCAACTTAAGAAAATAATTTAAATGACTACCTCACAGACATTAAACCTGAAAAAAGGTCTACCTGACTTTGATCTAATAAAAAACTTGACTGTATTTGATATATGATTTTGCCTGCATCCTCTTCTTATGGAAACTCTTCATTATTACTAAAGGAGCCATCATTTGACCACAGTTCCTCTTGGAAATTTAGAATCAGAATGATTCTTGTTCAGGCCAGCTACTCTCTTGAACTGATAAAAACTCAGGAACTATTCTGTGTGCAAAGGAAATAAAGCAGATACACAGACAGCAGAGCCAAGAGCAAAAGTCTTGATGACATTTGAGTTCCAGGCCCCAATTATTCCTGGGCCCAGGTGTATTCCTGTTCTTGGGGTCTGTGAGTGACTCTGTCTCCTCAAAACCTTTTTTTAGCTTAACATAGTTGGAGTTAGGTTTCCATATTTAATTTAGAAAGCAGTTTTTCCCAGTGCCACTACTTGGCACAATTCTATGAAGTCTTACTCACAGAATGAATCTATATCTGTGCCGTCCAATACAGCAGCCACCAGCCCCATGTGGCTATTTAAATTAATTAAAATTAAATAATATTAAAAATCCAGTGACATTAATCACATTTCAAATGCTCAACACCCACATGGGAGTACTGGCTACTGTACTGGATAGCACAGACAGAACATTTCCATCACTGCAGAAAGTTCTCTTGGACAGCCCTGCTCTTCATGAATGGCTCCCCCTGCAGTAATACAGGCACAATCATGATGAAAGTTCACACAGGGTAGCTATAAGCTTAAGGCTTACAACACAGGAGAAATTGTTTATTTAAGTTATATTTAAGGGGCCGGCCCGGTGGTGCAGCGGTTAGGTTCACACATTCCACTTTGGCTGCCAGGAGTTTGCCAGTTCGGATCCCAGGTGCAGACATGGCACTGCTTGGCACGCCATGCTGTGGCAGGCACCCCACATATAAAGTAGAGGAAAATGGGCCCGGATGTTATCTAAGGGCCAGTCTTCCTCAGCAAAAAGAGGATTGGCGGTGGATGTTAGCTCAGGGCTAATCTTCCTCAAAAGAAAAAGTTATATTTTATTTCCAATTAAGGCTATGAGTTTCCAGAATTTCAAGTGTCTTAGAGTTTTCTGTTCCCTTTAGGGATATGAATTTTTAAGTGTTTCTTTTAGTGGAAATTGCCTTGAACTGGGAGTTGATTCCTGACTTCTTGGTCTCTATTACCACGTGACAATATTAGCTTCCTACTGCTGCTCTAACAAACTCAGTGGTTTAAAACAACACAAATTTATTAATGTTTAGTTTTGTAGGTGAGAGGTCCAACACAGGTCTCATTGGGCTAAATCAGGTGTCAGCAGGGTTGTGTTCCTTTCCGGAAGCTCCAGGGGAGAATGTGTTTGACTTTTCCATTCCTTGGCTCTTGGCCCACTTCCATCTTCAAAGCTAGCAATTGTCAGTTGAGTTTTTCTCACATCTCATCACTCTAACACACTCTTCTGCATCCTCTTTCACTTAAAAGCACCCTTGTGATTACATCAGGCCCAACAAAATAATCCAGGATAATCTCCCCATCTCAATGTCAGCTGATGAGCAAACTTAATTCCATTTGCGACCTTTTGCCGTATAACCTAACATATACACAGATTCCAGGGAGTAGGACACGGTCACATTTGGGGCTTCATTACTGTACCTACCACAGTGATGTTGGGTAATTCACTCTTCACCTCTGGTTTTTGCATCTATAAAATTATGAGATTAGTCTATATGACCCCTAGGGTCCTTTCCAGCTCTATCAGCTAGGACTCCAAACTGATAAAAATTAACAGTTACTGTTTATCTCTCTCATCTGTTTATCTCATCTTTCACTGAATTTGAATTATATAATTATTCTGAAATAATGTAAGTCTGAATTTATGTTCAGAAGTGACTTCCAAAGATATTGGGCCATGAATCTCCCAGAGTAAGTGTTGCCCAGAACCCAAAACACACACAAAATCTATAAGGTAATGAACCTTTCCACTTAACATCAGAATGGAGACCAAATAATGAATTTTTAAATGTATGGTACACTAACCGTTTAAATTACAAGTTAATGAAGCGACATATAAATAAGTTTTAACTGATTCACAAGAAAGGGTTTTGTGAGGGATAAATGAAGTGTATTCTAATTTGCATCTATTAACTCTCACCCTCCTCCCCTCTTTTTAAAAATAGTCAGGAGTTTGCTAAGCATTGGATGAAAGTCATATTAGCAAAAAAGGACAACAAACTTTGTGTTGTCATAACCAGTGAGTAAAAACAATCGCCCAAACGAAAATCATTCAAATTCAAGGAAATGGAGTCAGAAGAAATTCTGGTAATAGGATTCATCATTACTTTCTGACTTACCAAAATGCCTCCTCCAGAAGAAACAGTATTTGGGCTCTTTTGTATTTTGAGAAATAAGGTAGTTCTATCACCCTGATATACTAAAGAATAAGTGTTTTGATTAGAAATTAAAAGTTGATATAAAGAGTAAATCCTTCAGCAGTAATTTTTAAATCCATCTCCTTAACAAATTTTCTTACCACCATGTCCTTAATTACCACTGACGCTATTATCAGGTGGTACTTTCCACATTGAAATACTTCTAATAACGTACCTTAAAATCGACATTTTCTACGCATTTTCATAATATACAAAATATGAAGAATACAGAAATATTTTTATTTTTTCATTTAATGATGCAAAACACAAAGCTGACTTGACATATATTCACATATAACTTTTTCTCTCACGTTTACAACTCAACAGGCTGGTGAATTGAGAGGAAGTGCTATAATCACTATATGGAGCATACCTATAATGAAGAGAAAACAAAATTAAAGCTGTAGCATTAGCCAGCAGAAACAACACTAAAACTAGACCATTCTGAACAATTCACCTTAGAGCATCAAAGAAAGTCCAGAAAACAAATCCAAAGAGTATTAACCCCTCATCTTACTTAAGTTTTAGCAAAAAATATTTTATCTGAACTCCAAGAGCAGCAAAAGCATCTGGTTTTGATTTACCTAGTTTATATTTATCTTTCAATTGGCTGAATGAAGTAGTGAAATGGGCAAGGTGATATTAATAGAAAGATAGAAGCAAAAAATTTGGATAATCAAACCCTAAAGAGCTGAGTTTGAGAGTTGTTAAGTGTGGGGGAAAAAAGTGTACGTTAGTGATCACTATTTTATTATCCAGCAGATATAAATAATCTACTTTAATCAACCTAATCCATAAAAGTTAAGATTTAGAGGAGTGGTTTTTCACTTTACAAAAGGATTAACATAGGATTTCTTTAAAAGGATTTTCAGAAATATACCATATATACTCACATAAAATAAAGTCACTCTCTTTTTTAAATCACAGACCATGCAAAGTTTGCTATCTTGTTCACAGCTAGGATTTACCAGGAATTGTCAAACTGGGTGTTAGTTGTAGTGACAACCATAATGAAATGGTCATGCAGTAAAAAATTTAACCATCTACTGCCCGTACACATTTGTCCATTCTACAAATATTAAACATCCAGCTGGGCCCGGCACTGGGCAAGTTGCTGACTACATGATGATTAACAAAACAGACAGGATTCCTGTTCTCATGGAACTTATACTCTAGTGTGGTGTATGACAAACAGATAATAAGAAATGCATACACAAATAATGATAACTTGTCCTAAGTGCTACGAAGGCACTGTGTACAGCCCTATTAGATTTAAGAAAGTATGATTTGGGTTTCATTCTTAAACACAACTTTCTTCCAATACAGTCAAGGTGTAATCATTAAAACTGATCATGCTAACAGATGCTTGAGCCAAGGTATTAAAAATTCATAAATCTGTCACAGACAGGAATAAAGGTGCTAAAAAATACAAACCCAATTTTAAAAAATCCAAGATACCTTATTTAAAAAAGGCCAAATTAACTTGCATAATTTCTTCATCCTATAAAATGACATACTTACTATATTAGTATTTCAAAAGCTTATTCCAACCCATTTCTTCTTTTATACTCTAAAACATCTTCATTATGTTGTTTGATGAGCTAGAAGTAGGTAACAGTTAAAATTAGAAACATAATCTTCCTGGCAACTTAAAGAGGAGGCGGCTAACTAATGATATTTATATTCTGCAAGAGGAGTAAGAATAGATTAAAAGAATTACAATTATTCTAGTTAGAAATAAAAGGCTAAGAGATGCCAAAGTCCAAAAAACTGAATAGTATATACTTGTTCACCACAGTCTGACATACTAAATTTGAGAAGGCAATCCTTGAAAGTTTAACTTCTAAGTCAACTTCTGCCAAACACATTACTTCATTCAATGGGTAATTAATGTAATGGACCACCTTGCTAAACCAGCACGAGAGAGCCTGGTTCTTAAATGGGGTCCAGGCTGGTTGGTGGGTGTGTATTATACTTCTAACCTTAGAAATTTGATACTGTGAGTCAATGATGCACCTCATCCTCTAACTATATGTGTCTTAATTAGATGTCACGGAGGACAGCCACTTTCTTGGAACCACTGTCTGACAGAATATGCAATCGGAAAAATGGCTGATAGAGGGTGACATTCGCCACAACCAAAGATCTCATTTTAATCAGAGTTCTCAGCAGCAATCAAGCTTCTTTTCAGGAAAGCTTCAAATTGAGAATGTATAAAATTTCACTATAACAAATATTTTGCAAAAAGATTAGTTACTGTTGTTGAGTTATAAGTGACTTTCAACATCTCTTAGTCCTTCCCATGTCAAAGAACCGCTGAACCGCTTTAATGAGAAAATCCAAAGTAAGAGATCCAAGAATTGGTGATGGGTGGCAGTGGACGAAGCTTCAAACCCATGAGATACACAACAAAAATTTTAAATACTCATGTAGCACACATACTTTGAGTCAACTTTTAAAAAATGTATCCATAGGGAGGCAGTATTTCACAACCTCTACAGTACAGCTCTGAAGTTAGGGAGATCAGGTTCAGCAAATTAATTTCTCTAAGTGTTTTCTTCATCTGTAAAAGGTCAACAATAGTACCTACACGTAGTGTTGTTGAAAAGATTAAATGAGCTTTTACATGTAAAACATTTGGCATACTGTAAAGACAAAAAAAAGGGCTGCTACACATTAAGTACAATTTCCAACAATGTATTTATACAGCATTGATTAAAATCTTGTTTCGTAAGTCTAATGGGATTTAATTTGTATAGCTTGTTCACTGATGGTTTGTCCCTATGGCATCTGAAAGAAGTGCCTTCATAAAACCCCAACCAGCCTCCATCCTAAGAAATAAAATAAATAGTTACTATGCAGTAAAACTGCCGTTCATGACAAAACCATGCTAAGTAACGATGAACGACAAATTTCAGGCTCATATTTTCTCAAAAGCGTTGAAATCTTAATATTCTTTAGTCCTTGGGATTCCCCTCACGGAGAAATATGTTAGGAATTATATGACTATCCTATTGCATGGGAGATTGGCTCGGCAACATGCAGTCTCACACTGGTATTTCTTCTCCCCACCGTGTTGGGGTCGCACCACATAAGGGAGTAAAGACTTACATAGATCCACAAGAAGACGGAGGTGCCCAAGGTCAGTCCAACTTTCAGCCAGTCAGGTTTGTCATGTGGCGGCGCCCGAATGTAGAATTTTGACCGCGCTGAAGCTGAAAGGGGACAGTCTGTAAATCTATAACATCGCCTTGTAGGGAAAACCTAGCATTTACATGTATTAGCGCATTTAATTCTCCCTTCACTCTTCCCTCCCGCCCGCCCACGGGAACAAATGTTCGGAGAGATCACATAAGTCGTCCTGGGCCACCGGTAGAGCCAGGCCGGTTGCCTCTGTCCTCCAGGCTCCTGGGGACCCTCTGACGACTCGAGAGTGGGCGAGTAGCAAACGCCCCTGGGAGGATCCCCCCTCCCCGGGTCTGCAGGACCCAACCTGCAAAGTGGGTAGAGGAGGGACCCAAAATCCATTCGCAGAGACCAAGAGGGGTCGGGTGGCACTTGGCGGAGGGTCGGTGACGGGTGATAGGGAGCCGGGAGTCAGGGTGGGGGCACGCGTGGGCAGCGGGATACGGGCCGGCGAAGGTCACCGCAAGACGAGCCCGGGCCGCAGCCGCTCCCTGCCGCCACGGGCCAGGTTCGCCCTGGGAGGAGCAGGCTGGGATGCTGGATCGGCCTGCTCGAGGAGGGACACTTACAGCCGCTCGGGAGTCTGGCCGGGGCCAGCAGCCTGGAGAAGGGGCGCAACAACGCGGACGGCGCCATCTTGCCGGCCTGGGCTCCGCCTCCCAGCAGCCCCGCAGCCCCGCAGCCCCGCGGCTCTGGGGTCGGCGCCCGGCCGAGCGCCCCCTGGCGGGCGGAGGCGCGGGGCTCGCCGGCTCTGCAGCCGCGCCGCGGGACATGTCAACTCCAAGAATCGCAGTTAGGGCCGGGTGCTCTAGCTGCCCTGGTCTGTCTTCAGTCTGTTAAGTGGGGTTAGGAAGGAAATGATTAAAAGGAAAAAAAAAAAAACCCAAAAAACGTAGTCTATCCATTTCTCTGTCCTCTGAGAGTTTATTTCAGACCCCCTTCCCAGGGACACTCATGAAGAGATTTACTAAAATCTTCCTACATGAGCCAGGATACCTAAAATGCAGTGTCGTGTTGAATAATAACTAGTATTTTGATCGAATTCTGTGTTCCAGGCACTGAGCATTAATGCATCATATGGTTTATATGCATTGTCTCATTTCATTTTCATAACGACCGCATGACATGCCGAGATTATTATTCTCAATGTACAGATGAAGCTCAAAGAAGACAAACTATTCATCCGAAGTGATGTAGGTTATATTTGAAGAGATCTCTTACAGTTCCCAAAGTCTGTTTACACGCACTACTCCTAGTAAAGCCTCACAACCCTGTGAGGAAAAGAGGATCCTCCTTATGTATTTTAGAAGTGCCCTGACCGGCTGAAGATCACACAGCTGGGGGAGGTGGGATTCAGACACAGGGCTTCTGATGCCAGATCTAATGATCCTCGTTAGTTCACCTAACAGACTTGGTGAGTCCCCTGAGGCCATGAGCTCCAGAGCAGTGTTCAAAGTGCCAAGTTCAATGTGCCATTCCTGCTCACCACCTCTCTATGCCTCAGTTTTATATCTGTAGCATAGGGGGCTGGCCTGGTGGTGGAGTGGTTAAGTTTGCACTTTCTGCTTCAGCCGCCCAGGGTTCTGGGTTGGGATCCCGAGTTGGGACCTCTGCACTGCTTGGCAAGCCATACTGTTGAGGAAGTATGGGTACAGATGTTAGCTCAGGGCCAGTCTTCCTCAGCAAAAAGAGGAGGATTCGCAGCAGATGTTAGCTCAGGGCTAATCTTCCTCAGAAAAAAAAAAATAGAAGAAGAAGAATCTATCTGTAACATAAAACCTATCCTATAGGGTCGTTGGGAAGCTTAGAAAGTGTCTGGTAGTTGTAAACAACTTGTTTTTGCCTGTCAAAGACATTGTATGACCCATAGATTCTATCTTTCACAACTGAGCCAGATTTTTGCCCATTCAGTTCTCAATTCAATCTGATTTATAAAGACCATGTAAAAATATGTCTAGATAAGAGATAATAAATTGTAATACCTGAATCCTTTAAACAGAATGCCATTTAGGTTCATTTTAAAAGCAAAATAAGTATTAGCAAATCTCTTTTTTCCCTCCTCATTTTCTTTAGCACTGTTATTGAAAAAACAATTTTAACCAAAAATTATTGACCAAAGGGTGAAATAATTGTACTATGCTTTCTGGTTCATTTTTATGTGCAACTAATGGCTAAATAGATTGCTAAACTGTGAGTCACTTTATAGTTGGTAACCTAGTTTGAGCCTCCTTGACTCAAGCTCAAGTAAGCAAATGACCCACTGATACGCTGAGTCAGTTGTTGGTTCTCAACTTCTTGGCTTCTTGTCCACTCAGCAACCTGCCAGTTGTATATCCTTTCTACACCATCCCTTGGAAGCTTGTCCTGACACAGCTTTTGCTAGTATCCAACGAGTTGGAACAGAAGCCACATTTAGTCAGAGCATACAGAGCCAGTAAGCAAACTGCTAATTCCAATACTGCTGTTAGAAAAGGCTGTTTTGTGGTTTGGGTGCCTGTACACTTTTACTAGTGTATATTTTGGGAAAGTGATGAAATATAAGGACATTTCTCTCAGCATGTTAGAGCTGATGGAACCCTACACTTGGAGTAGGCAGCTGTAGGTGAAACTCCATCTTGAATCCTGATGACGCAATCCCAGCCGGGAGCTAATGGCTATGATATTTGGTAGACGTTGCTACATGACATTCATTTAAGCATCTCCAGAATTTGAATGAAAAGACCTTATTTATGACTATTATTTATGACCCAGGCAAAGAGAGAGGGATTTCAGTCAGCAGCTAGAAAACCAGTTCTAAGTCCTTAATTATTCCCCTGGGAAACATCCTACTCAACTCACACCTCCCAGGGAGGGTTAAAGAAGAGCAAGAGTTGAAAACTCTATAAAATGTACCACATACATGTTTATTGATTTATGATGCATGAGATCACTGTATATCAAATTCAGGATCTGGAGAGGGATGGTGTTCCTCATGTATATGCAAGTTTTTATTTAAAAAAAAGTTAATGTTTGTTAAATCTGGGTAGCAAATAGATTTCTTTTATCTTGTAGTTCTATAAAATTTAAATATTTAATAATTAAAATGTAAAAGTGTCAATAGAGAACATCTTATATATATATGAAGATGGAGAAATTTCAGTCTACATATCCCTTTTGTAGCATTAAAGTTTGCAAGGTAAATTACTCATTGATTGATTGATTAATTTTCGGTTAACTTTGTTTGGAAGAGGCTTTTTGACAATAGGGATATGCAAATACATCATCTTCATCATCTAGCCTTGGATATGTTAACTTCCTGTGTAGCTAACATTCATAACATAACGTGTTAAGTGGGATCTTCATTTGTGAAACAGTGGTGACCTATCAGAGGAGACATTTTATTGTTGAGTTCAGGCTATCAACTTACTGACTGTGTGGTCCAAGTGTTATCTGTAGGTGCCTTTTTCCTAGGATATAACTCAGATAAATGTTAAATCAGACTAGTATTCACTGAGTCTTAAAAATTACTATTTACTTGTTAACAGCCAAAAAGAACGTAACATTTGACAAATGATATTGCTCGCTCATCTATTCAGGTACTCATCTTCTGGTGGAAACTACTGTTTATTTCAAAGACAGGAAATTTTCTTCCCATAAGGGGAAAATAGTATATTATTTACAGGAGAACTTAGAAAACCATAACAAATAATATTGCTGTAGGGACTTTTGGATATGAAGACAGATTTGGAAACCTAAGTTAGTAGCTAAGCCAAGATTATCACCTGAAGTTAGACAACTTTTCCTCCTTTCAATAGTTCAGATAGTTACAAGACCTCTTGTGAGCAGTCAAGTTCGAAGGTTATCACTAAATAACCACTGTTTTTTATGACTTCTAAGTTTGCTCTTAGCTTTATTTTTTTTTAAGTTAAGTTAAAAAACTGGCCATATTCCAAAACTTAAGTGGTTTTCTCTAGGTACAATTTTTTCTTTCTTTTTTTTTTTTGAGGAAGATTAGCCCTGGGCTACCTACTGCCAATCCCCCTCTTTTTGCTGAGGAAGGCTGGCCCTGAGCTAACATCTGTGCCCATCTTCCTCTACTTTCTACATGGGACACCTACCACAGCATGGCTTTTCCCAAAGCAGTGTCATGTCTGCACCCAGGATCCGAACCTGCGAACCCTGGGCTGCCGAGAAGTGGAACTTGCGCACTTAACCGCTGTGCCCTCGGGGTCAGCCACACTATAGGGGCAATTTTCTTAGAGAAACTTTTGAAGAGAGATCACGGAATCTGAAGAAATTTCAGGACTTGACTGCTAAAACCTTATTTATGACCTAGGCAAGGGGAGAAGGCATTCAAGATAGCAGCTAGAAAACCCAAGGATTAGTCCCAGATTTTTCCACCGGGAAACATCTAACTCAACTCACACCTTCCAGGGAGGGTTAAAGAGCAAACTGAAAATGGAAAATATCTGTCAAATTTAAAAGAGCAAAGCTACTGCACATATTATTTAATGATTCATGATGCAAATAATGCTACTGATGGAATTCAGGATCTGGAGCGAGATAATCAAAGGTAAAAGTGGGTGATACGATGTGAAAAATTGTAGGTCACCAACGGAATGCCACTTTTAAAACAGTTTTCCTGTCTATGGTTAATAAAATGACATATATGTAGAGGCCCTATTTGGTATCTACTCTGACGTTGCCTACTCCATTTCTCTAGCATTCTTGCCAAATACTCTTCGGCTTCTAAGATTGGAGGAATTCTGGTGATAAGTTCAACGAGTCACCATATTAAGCACTAGCTTGAAGCCAGGTCCAGGAGAGTCAGTTTTCGCTGAACTCTCCACTTCCCCAAGGTGACTTATGCATTCGTCGACTCTGCACTGTAAGGACTCAACGATAAAATAAAAACACACACTTTAACCTTCAGATGCTTCTTCGGCAGTGCAAATATGACACTTTTTGGATCTGGCTACCCACCTTTCCAGGTTCATCTTAAGTACAAATTAAATCACCAATACTCCAGCAAGGCCCATTTAATTGAGCAAGCTCTTTCACGCTGTTCAGACTCCATTAAGCCCCCTCCACTCCATATCTGTTTACAAGTCCCCAGTGGGGTGAAGCCTTCATGTCCCGTCAGCCTCTGCTGCTTAATTAGGCACTTCGTTCACGATCACACACAGCGCTTCTTAAACACCTGATTTTTAGCCCTTCAGACTCAAACTATGATCCTACAGTCTGGGAGAATCTACTCTATGAATGCACGGCCAATCTAGCAGGAAGGAACAGAAAGGCTATTTTTAACGCGAAGACAGGCAGAACCGCAGCCGGTCACTCTCCCCTAGTTTCCCGGGCGCCTCCAAAGACACCCAGAGCCGAATGGATGGGCGGGGCCTGCCGCGACCCTCACGGCCTCCGCCGGCCGGCCGGCCTCCAGGTTTCCCAGCAAGCTTCAGGACAGAGGAGGTGGGGAAAGGAGGTCATCGCGCCTGCGTGCTGGGAAGTGTGACCCGGGTGGGAAAGCCCTCCGCGTCCGCCATTTTGGCTGCCTCTGTCGGTCTGTTCAGTTACCACGTGAACCGCCGACGGAGACCCGTTGGGGGGTAGGCGGCGGCAACGTTAAGTGAGAAAGGGAAAAAAGACAACGAGGGGAAGGGGGTGTCGGGGTTGGGCAACGCGTTGACACCTGAGGCCTGGTGGCGGCGGTGGATCAGGCAATCAAGGCTGAAGCAGCCAGGGAACGGC